ATTGTCAGTTTATTATTATTTAACCTCTATCTAAAAGCTCATCAGTTATCATTCATTGACTTTGGTAGAGTCGATCTGTATTTTCTAACTCCCTCTTTATTTATTGTCTTGAACGGGAGAATGATAGTGGTGCTTCATAGCTGCCAGCTGCAAGATGTCCTTGATCACAATTGAAAAATAAATAAACAGCTAGGGACTGGAATTCGCTGCCTGCTGCTGTATTTCCTGAACACTATAATCCGGGCGTTTTCAAGGCGAGAGTGAATAGGCACTTTCAGGGCAGATATGTAGGTACCATCCTAGACTGCACAGGTGCGATTGCGGTCAAATACCTGACTTGTCTAGAATAAAAAAAAATCAACTGAGTAGGCGAACATGTAAATAAAAAGGTTCCTATTGTATACCTACCTGGAATTTCTTTTTGACAAGTCATGAAAATTATTATTTTCGTTATGCTAGCCAATATTTATTTATTTATTTAAAATCTTTATTGCACACATAAAAAACAGTGGTACAACAGGCGAGATTAATGCCAATATCAACAATATCTACAAGATTATCATAGTTGTGGTCGAAACTCAGAAACCAGAGTTTACATTATTGTATCGGTTATATGTGGCCATCCAGTGATGCGCCTGACAGGCCGCGTCGTAATTCAGAGCTACTGTGGGCAATGGCCACTCATGGCCACTTAGCGGCCATTTGGCGTATGTAAATAAATGGGCTTGGAACGCCATACAGCTGCATGGAATAGCAGTTTTAATTGCTTGTTTGGAGTTGGAGTTACGATTGGTCACCTTATGATTTTTTTGTCGTGAGTTTTGAGGTTTGTTGAAAAGATTATTCAAAAGAAGAAAAATTAATAAGGACTTCCCCCATTATTTTTAATTAATTCAGTCGTTCTTTAAAGTTGTTTTTGTAATCAATTAAATGTGAAATAAATTCCTGACAGATCCATTTGGGCGAAGTTGCGGGCAGCATATGCCCATACCCATAGCACAGAATAAGTAATAGCCATAGTCTCAATAAAATTAGTTATAATTTCTAAAATAATTCATAATTATATTAACTAGTGGGCAGGCCTCCTACTAGGTGGACCGACGATCTGGTAAAGGTCGCGGGAAGAGCCTGGATGCGGGCAGCGCAGGACCGTTCATTGTGGAAAACCTTGGGGGAGGCCTTTGTCCAGCAGTGGACGTCATTTGGCTGAAACGACGAACGACGATAGTAACTTACCAGTCCCAGTATTTTTTTGTAATTTTCTGCCCCATTTTCATACAAGATCTATGGGAGAGTCGAGTTTTGACACCTCAAAAGTAATAAAATTAATTCACTAGGGTGTCCACTTCCCTATTATACTTTGGATTATCAGTAATTTAACCAGTGCCTCCCTAACCAGGTATTGACTGCAATTTGTTCCTACTGCAAACCTGGGAATAAAATGCATGCCCTACCTGCACGTTCAAAAATTTTTCACTTCCCATTCTCAATTTGAACAATCCATCTTGATCGCTGGCACGCGGCGCGTTTTTGCCCTGCTTTTTATAGCGCGACTAATCTGTCTTGGTGCTTGCAGCATGAAAAGCACCTGTGGATTTATGGCCCCATTAATTGCATTTTGATCCCAAACTCGGAGGGTTAAAGTTGATATTAGATTGATGGGATGTGTACTGCGGTTAGGCGCTAATTAAAGTTGGAGTGATTGTTGAGGTTTAGGAGTTAATTACAATGGTTTGTTGAAATTATGTTGGTCTTAAGCTAATCTTGTGGGTTATACCAGTTATAGCAACTCTTGTGAGCCACATATTATGAGCCACCACAGGCATATTAAACTCAACTGTCTTTTAGTCTCAACTGGACTGGCACATTTTAAAGCTGGTCTTTACCCTAATTCTTAATAGATTTATACATTTTCGGGACTTTTTTGCTCCTGTCTTTGTAATATTGTTCATTGCTTAGTTTTTTCCTAATTAACTCTTAGAAGTTTTGAGCAACAAGAGGAGCAAGTGTTACCAAAGTTTTGTTAATAGCAAGATGCACTTTAGAGAAAGGCTTTCTAACTAAGTTGTAAACTACTGTATTAGTTTATACCAAGTTCCTACTTTAGTACTTTGTCTAATTATAACATAGGTATGTTGTAGGTAGGTTGAAGTCAAAACTTCTCTACTTACCCACTTACCTAACCTAGTACTTACCTGACTCATAATATAAGCTCATGTTTTTTTGGTCTAAATATTGAAATCAACCAACCATGAATCTACTTTGAAATAACAACTTGAAAAAATCGAATTGCCTAAGACGGAAATCGATTTTTTTCAAGTTATTTACTTATTTAAAATTTAGCTTGAAAAGCGACTCTAATCGCTAACTACTCTGAGTTGCAACATCTAACTAACGATAACTGGTGTTTTCTGTATGGAGTTTGACAGATTTTTATCGTTTGCTAAAGTAATATGGGTGCAACCCAGCCTAAGCCTCGTTTCACGACCCTTTTTGTTGGATTCTTTTATAAAACTTTATCTATAAAATCGAGGGTAGTACCAAAAGTGTGATAAGACACATCTGCGATTCCAATAACACTAATGCAAGACGCTGTCCCCTCAAAAAGCGGTAATACCCCCTCCATAAAGCAATATAGGGGATTACCCCAGACATTTACGATGCAGTAAATTGTGCATCCCCGTTTTAGGCGTTGCATTACCTGCATTTCCCCCGTGTAGTATCGCCAATTCAGTTTTATGTATATGTTGCAGTGCGTTCGTGAAATAGGGCAGATGGTGATCTTTCTGGAAACGTCATTATGCCATTTTATTAATCGGCAGAATTGTTTTTCCTAGTATCCGCAACGATAATATATTGAGAGGTTCTTTGTGTGATAAAAAATTCTGTGGTATGCAGAATGCACCGCATTTATAACAAAAAGTTTAGTCAAGTCGATTTGTTTTGCACGTCCAGGCACTCTTTCAAGAGGGAGATTTGCGACTTATTAGGTAAATGAAAACTCACGCACACTCACACACACACACACACACACACACACACACACACACACACACACACACACACACACACACATACACACAACCTGCATGTAAGCCTATGTTTCTTTTTTTTGCCCCTTTGACTGTTTTTTACGAGATTGTAATAATATATAGAATCCATTATTGGCTGTAAGAACAAAAATACCTGTTTGTATTATTATTATAAAGAGCTGTGGTTTTATGAATAAAGAAAAATAAAATAAAATAAAAAATAGCGATACCTACTAAAATGTTCGGTTTATTTCCAAGGGTTCTTCAGGTTATTGAGTGATCAAAGAACTTGACAAAGGTAGAAAAGAGTGAGATTCCACATTATGCCGAATTTTTTACACTCTCACCTGCTCGGTGGTCCTCAAACAACTCTCAGGGGTGCTGGATTGGCAACGTCTGGATGAAAAATGCATTATAGGTAGTGCTGTTTGGTGTTCCTTGGTAGAGATTTATCTACCACTACGCAAACGTCATGAAATGAAATATGTACCCAGACAAAACACAATCTGTATGATTTCTCAACTTTACTTCAACGTTTGCACCATCTGATGTTTGCCGTCCTACATATCGTTAAAACTTGGCTTGCGCATTTAAAGTTATATTTAGGAGAACAATTTTGATTTGAGCTCGTGTACAGCCTGAATTTTAATCCAATCGTGTAGTTTAAATTACAGAACAAGTAACAAAATGAAACTCTGAATATAAAAAGTTAAAAACACTTTTAAAAGCACGAAATAAAATTCAGATCGTCCTTGGAGTGCTTAATGAATGACCTGGCGAACTTCGTACCGCCTATGTTCATCACAAATTGTGGTATTCTAATGGTGAACGAATTTTTCAAATCGGTCTAATAGGTAGGTACCTAATACTTACTAGTTTCGGAGCCTCTTCAATACAAACAAACAATATTAAAATCTTTCCTCTTTATAATAATAGCGTACATTTTTAAAAATACTAAGGCTGTGGGTTGCACGGGTTGCACCATTTTAATTTAACTTTGACAAATGTCAAAAACCTGCCAAATTCCATACAAAAAGCACCGGTTATCGTTAAAGTTACGGTCAAAGTTAGGTGGTGTGCAACTCAGCTTAAACTGTACTAGTTATTTAATCAACTACCAGTTTAAAATGTATAAGTACACAGCATTCTGCAGGAAGCTAATAGCATAAAATAATAATGCAGTTAAACGGCATTGTTATAATAATTCAAAGTTTATCAGACCCTCATTTTCCGTTTTTGAAAGTTATTGCATTTAAATTGTTATGGATGAGCCAGATTGTCGATTTTAAGCTTTTTAAGTATTTAAACCGTGATTAATTGCTCAAGCAGTCAGATGTGTATCATTAAGGTGCTTTATTTGGTGTGCGGTCGAGTTAATGGGTTTTTAATGAACAAATGAACATTTTACAGGTCTGTGTTTTAAGTAAGATATTTTGTCGTCAGCTTCCGCAAAAGCGTTTGAAATTGAAGTCCTTTGAAAATATAAATTGCTAAATATCGATGTGACATAGTAATAATATTTTTTCATCAACATGATCCTTAACAAAAAACGTGTAACTTATAGTTTTTTAAGACAATCAACGTCTAATTCGAACCTGCTACACTGCCTACACTACAGTTCAATAATCTGAAAACAACTACTAATCCTACACACTATGCTTCTATTTATTTTCTGTTTTTACGCCATCTATTAGAGTTTTAAAGTACCAAACATAGGTTACTATATTGTCGTGCTAGTGATAGCATGCTTTGGGTAGCGGCTTTGACTTAAAAGCGAATCACTAGATGGCGCTTTTAAATACTACTCAGGAAAATGATATGTTTTTATTACATAAGTAAATAACAACCTTGGAAATATAATATTTCCTAGGAAAATGGGAAAATGTTTTACTTTCTCGTTTTAAAACATTTTTTTTCTTTTAGTTTTGTTCAAAACTTATATTACAAAACGCATGTGCGTGATTTCTGTTTTAAAAAAAGTTATATACAAACAACATGGTGGATCAGCTGTTTTCATTTTTCTCTGACGGAAATTTGTTTTCGTAAAACGGCGTACTGTTATGGTTTCATAGCCATGTGTGAATTAAAATGGGCTCTATCGCATCGGTGCTGCAATGGCATTGTCAGACATGCGGCCAAATCAACCCCACAGAGAGTGTAAAGTGTTTAAAATGTGGTACCAAGAGGGTGTCTTGTCATGACAAAGAAGGTTCTAAAGGATATTGCAGAGGAGATTCTTCGCCTGACTACACAAGTCGCACAGGAAAAAGCGACGGAACTACCCCTGGTTCAGAACCCATCGTCATACCAACAGAAAACAACTTCAATAGGTAAGTTTTTCTTTGCCCATCAGTTCATTGTTGCTCCTGTCATTTTTCTGATATCGATTTTTCACTAGCCGTATTTAGGTTATATTTCCATTGTATTTCATTGTTGCGCGGTCATACACGAAGTTCATTAACGAAATTAATGTGTGGTACGCTTTTTGTCGTGGGTGTTAGTCAGTAATTTGGTGAAATGTGACTTTTACACACAATGCGCCTAGGTACGTTATAAGTCCATTGTCCTGAAACTATTATATTATATTGGGTCATTTGATGTAATTTTGTGGGGTGAACAAAGTGTTTTTTGGTGGAAAGTTTACTGAACTGTTATTTACACGTTTAGAAGTAAAAAGTTGGGTTTACATTAGGTATTATCTTTTTAATACAACTCTGGCAATGTTAGTTAATAGTCATTGTGGGAGTGCCTGTGAATAATTAAAATGCAACTCAATTTGCTGAAACAGTGAACCTACAAATATAAATAACTCAACAGGCTTGAATATTTCATGTTTTGGATAAATATACAGTTGCCCAGTGTTCCATTTCAAGTCTGTAAATAAAGTAGGTAGTTACACTTTAGTAATAATTGGTATTGTTGCTGAGTAGCAGTAAGTAAAATAGTATTATTTATTGATCTGAGTATTTTTATACTAGTGAATGAATTTACAGGAAAATTTACCTTACAACAACGTGTTTAACATTACATTTAGTTGACATCAAAATCAAAGAACAAAGAATTTTATTTAAAATAGAATTCAGCCCCACCTTGGTTGAAAGTGGGCCTAATACATTCACTCCTCCAGTTTTGTTAAATTGTTAAAGGCACTGCTTCCCCCGCCCAGCCGGGGAGGGGATTAGAAAAGGTATCCCAAAAAAAGCTCGTCCTTTCTCATTGGGGGGGTAGCAACCGCGGCTGCTCAGGCACCTCACTTCTCGCGGTCGACGTTAAAGAAACAGAAACTTTGTTAAATTGATACCTGTGTTATGAGTGGTTTTTCCAAATACTTAATTGGTTGGCGGGGATTGAATCAGCATTCCTCATAATATCTTAAATCGAGACCATTTGGCTGTAACCAGCCGTTTCGCCTTTGAATAGTGTCTCAATTAATTGAAATAACCAGAGCTCCACTAAAATACTTAAGCACAATTTTGTAAGCCTATTTCAGTCACTGCGATACAGGCCTGCGTGCCTAGTGCAATAACAACTGCTGGCCCTTGTTGTGAGGCATTTTTTTTAAACATAGATAGTTATAAAACCCAGATAGGTTATAAATAGATATTTAGCTCCACAATGATCACTCGTTATCTAGCATCAAAATATTTCTCTATTTTCCACAACACTTTATGCGACTAGCGATTGATAACTTGACAACAATCAGCAACCAAAAACAAAACAACATTTGCAACGAATAACTTGATTTGAAACAATGTAACATCAGATTTTTTTATGAAACAATATGATACATTCGTCATATTGTTGTTGTGTCTTATGCTGTTGATAATTATCATGAAGCGTAATTATCATGATAGTTTCGAATCCTGGCATCGCGACTGAATTGCGTTTGTATCGCTGCAAAAGTCGCAATGTAAAAGAGGACTTAGGCCCAGAACAGAAGGTGAAGCGCAACTGCAACTGCTAGTTACTTTTTAGTTGCATCTAAGTTTCTGCCATAGCGTCCGTTGAGAGACCACACATGACGCGACCAGTTTGAATCAAACCGTCTGTTCTGGGCCTTAGAGTCAACCATAAACTTTTTTATTTCCAGCGGATGGTCTTGCGTGGGCTCCGCGCCAGGGCCGAGCCGCGCGTGGCGCTGCGGCTGCGGTCTCCGCAACGTGTCAGCTGCGTGGCGCTGCGCGGCGTGTGATGCGCTCGCGCCGCACGCGCCCGTCTACAGGTCGGTCTAAATAAAATTAGAATAACGTAGAATTTTGTCCAATGACCCCAAGCTACCCATCCTTATCGCTCGCGCGTAAGGCAGCAGTTAGACGACGCAAAAACTTTCACGCGGCCGCTAGACTAGTTACTAGCATAGCTGGGCATTAACTCGTTAATCCGTTAATCGTTAATTAACGAAGTTAACATTTCTATTAACGGATTAACTTTTAAGTTAACTTTAAAAATTGTTAACGGACTCGTTAACTTCCGTTAAATTATCCTAAGTCCGTTAATCGTTAATCCAGTACCTACTATTTACCAAAAAGATACAGCAGGCACGCTGAAAACGTTAGAAAAACGCGTTCTGACAAGTACGTTCGGGCTTCCAGAACTTCCAGAACCAAAAATAACAGTTTTTGTAACCAGATCACTAACGACACTTGTGGGACAGTGGGACAACTCTTGCAACTGAATTTAAGACCAGTTTTCCTCAACCGATTGAGCTGTTTGGTATACTTATTAAGTAGGTACGATGACAATGCAATGTTATGGTACCATTGAGCTGGTCTGATGATGGAGTCATGAGGTGGCCATAGGAACTCCTCAATGAAATGGCGGCATCGCATCGAATTTGGGTTCGTTGGATTTGTCTTTTCGAGCACTTTAGTACTAGATAATGTCCAGGGTCCTGATGATGGAGTCGGGAGGTGGCCATAGGAATTCCTAAACGAAACGGTGGAAACTTATCGAGTTTGGGTTTGCTGGATTTTTCTTTTCGAGTACTTTGGTGCTAAATTGTATTGTAATTGAACCAAGGCTCTGAGATTGAGATACTACTAAAAAGTGTAAAATAAAATTATAATAATTAAAAAACTTTTTTTAAAACAAGCTTTTATTCTGAAATGCAGTTGTACTAAAACGAAAAAAATAATTGTACTTAATCGTAAACCTTGCATACAATTATTTTTTTCATTTTATTATTATGTGTTAACGGATTAACGATTAACGTTAACTTGCGTTAAATCTTGCGAAATGTAACGTTTTAACGTTTAACGAAGTTAATTATTTTATTAACGGTTTAACGATTAACGAAGTTAACTATTTGATTAACGGTGCCCAGCTATGGTTACTAGGTTTCGTTCATAAAATTTAAACTCTTATTACCTAGGTCAAAAGATTAAAATTCTTTTGGACAACCACACCGTGCGCGGCCGCGTGTAGGCCGCGCGGCGGCCGTCTGGATGCGGTCGCCTTCTGGATGATGCGCCCCTCCATAGCGTGGCGGCCGCGCGGCTGCCGCGCCGATCGATCTCAGTTGCTGAGTTTTCTGGCGCGCGCCGCTCACTTCGCAGTCAAGGGATTCTTTAAAAATTAATTTCAACCTTAAATGTAGTCACTGAAGAGCTTATTTTACTATAACAGTCGACTCTTGAAAACGCGTACGCGGTGGCCACGAGGTGGTAGTACGCGGTAGCCGCGCGGCGGCCGCGCAGCAACTACGCGGCCTTTTGGCGTATCAAATAAAGCTATCGCCCGGCCGCCGCGCGGTCTCTCATGCCCGTTTTCACCATCAATCCCTAATTTTTAAGTGACCCCTATGAAAACAAAATGCCTGTCAAATGTTACCATAGGGGTCACTTAAAAATTAGGAATTGATGGTGAAAACGGGCATCAGCATCCCATATAAACGGGCCCTAATTATATTGCTGTCGCGACTGTGCGACGGGCGCCCGCAGTGAGTGTGCGAGCGCGACAACAACATAATTACGCGCGAGCGATAAGGATGGGTAGCTTGGGGTCAATGGACAAAATTCTACGTGCTCACAGACCGGGCTTTAGCTTTAGAAGAAATTAAGCAGGACGAAGAACCAATATAAGATTTTAAACTTTCGCGTTCCAATACCTTGAAGTAAACGAGTTGCTGAGTGGGACGCTCTCCAGCTAGGCTGCAGCTGCCTACTTGCCAATGCCAACTCACTATAGTCCTCGCTCGCACACTCACTGCGGCTGCCCGTCGCACAGTCGCGACAGCAATATAATTACGCGCGGGCGATAAGGATGGGTAACTTGGGGTATTGGACGAAATTCTACGTGCTCGAGCTTTAGCTGTTAATACTATTGCACGCCTCCCCCAACTTTTGGAAAAATAGGACAACTTTAAATCACAAATCTTGTTCAAGTAACTACACCTTTACCACCAATAAAAACCCAACTAGTGGTTTTCACTAGTTGGGTTTTTATTGGTACTACTTTCAAAGTGTAAAAGATTCTACAGCATACTATCTGCTTACGTATTGAAATTGCAGTACTTTATTAGTTTAGTCGATTGTGACCACCCCAAGCGTCAAAAGACTTGACTGCTAACCAAAGGCATGATCAAACATACTGATGATGTTTCTTTTATTCTTTTTCAGGCTGTCTGATGATGAGGATCAAGCTTCAGGGATGACGGACAAGGATAAGTCTGCCCAAGGTAATCTATCACTTACAGATACTATGTACGCTCATAAAATTCAACAATTTGGACATGTGTCATTCAATTTCAATGATTATTGTTTCCAGACAACACTATGATAAGATCCAACACCCTAGCAGTCCCATCGTATAAGCCTTCTTCGAGCTACTCAGACGGCCGCCGGCTTAACCTCGACCTTCAGTCTTTGAGGCTATCACCCACCCAGCTGACAGATCATGCCCACGGTGTGACCAGGTCCCTATCCCATGGGTCCGTGATTAACTCCCAGCAGAAGTGGTGGAAGGTTGACGAGGCCAGGGGAACTATAAACAGACCTACAAGCTTGATGGTCTCCGAAAGATATGGTTACAACACACAGTGCAACCCTCGGGAATCGTTCCTTAGAAGCCTTCACACAGTGACCAGAAGACCCAAGAAATGCAGCGAAAGCAAATCGAATTGGGAGTTGAATTACGTGAAGGAATACCAAAGGGAGCAGAGTAAGGCGCTTCATTTAAAGAAATGGGCGTGCTCTAAGTGTACCCTTGAAAATTCTGGTATCAGAACACATTGCGAGGCGTGCTTATCCCCACGAATATCACCCTTGGCCCGGATTCCTAATGCAAGAGGACTGAGCGTCACCACATTGGGTAGACATGAGACTTTATCAGGGAGAGACGGTGCTACATCACTGCCTACTTCAGGAGGGGTCATGATAACCGTTCCTGACTGGCCACAGACTGGAAGCACTACCCTAGGGTCTTTCAGGCGGTCGATAAGCGCCCAGAACTCCCCTGAAATTCGGCCTACATACCGCCGGTCTTTCTCCGAGCAGACCAACGCGGAAAGACCAGTTGGGAAGGTCATATCCAGTAGACGGAGCCTTAACGACTACCAGAAATCATTGGCCAGCTACTGTGGCAGCTTGAATCGTGAAGGGAAGGATCTGGAGAAGAAAATTGACGAAAATAGCGTGGAGATTGATAAAGAATGCAGTTGGGACACAAATGCTGAGGGTGTGATATACGCTTTGCCGAACAAAGGGAAATACAAAGACTTGAATTTGCAGCTGCAAGTTAACAACAACGGGACTAGATATTCGTACGTATCGGTTCAAGATACGAAGAATGTGATGAGCAATTCCCAGAATGAGGCTTTATATTCGAATGATATGGGAGACGGTGATTACGCGAGAATAGATGAACTGTTGGGAGCGGAGAACTGTATATCCCCAGTGGCCGAGTCGGCTGGTGCGAGCAATATTAGGACGTCGCATATTGGTGCAGTGAAGGACACAAGTGCAAAAGTTCAGTACATGTTGCCATCAGTTGGTAAGGTGTCGCACAATCAACGGGAGATTAAAGGGCCATCGCCGCAGCAGCAATCTTCGTAAGTTATTTCCTTTTATTTATTTTTTTGCTTTAGGTAAACCTTTTTTATATTTTACTAACGGCCGCCCACGACTTCGTATGCATGGACCTCGGATTACCCCCTTAGGCCACTTACTCCTAATCCGGCGACTTGGCCCGTGGACCAAGCTAAAAGTGGGCCAAGTCACTGGAAGACTCTTACTACATAAGATGCTTTCACTGTTTCGATAATGTTTCAGATATTGTCTCACATTTAACATTATTTACATCTACATCTGCCACATAATGGTTTCCTAGATCTCTATCTGAGACCTAGGAAACCAAAAGAAGTAGTATATCTGACAAATAAGTTCCTATTAGGCTACCTATCAGGAAGTTTATTATCAAGTAGTGAAATGTATAAAACTAAGGCTTCTTCTCAGCACTGGTCCATTTATTTATTTAAAACTGCGACGAGTATAAAGTGCTTTTTAAAAGCCTTTATAAGTTTTTATAAAATTAAGATAAGAGGGGTGATTTTCGTCATGTAAAATATTCCTTACACATGCTCCAGAACCATTATAGCTCTGACCTTATTTATGTATTATGTGCGTATCAAATTTAAAATCCAGTACGATTGCCCAGAATGGATAGCAAGGGTTTTTACCATCATTAAAAACAACTCGTCACAATCATGGGAAATACCATTCTCGTGTTTGCATTGACTCATTAAAAAGTTACGCGTTTGACGACTAAACGAGCATGTTTTAGCGCGTGTGTTTATTATTTAAGTATTTTTTTGACTGATAAATAATATTGCTACTAGATTGTGAAAAGTGCTAAGTTTTGAATTGTGTTAAAAATAGTTTTGTGTTTTAGCAAGATGATGTCAAATGAACTTATTATTAAGTGCATTACATAATGTGTTTTTCAAAGGTTAGTTCGTGATCACCTCACATAAAATATTTAGATGGAGCAATAAACATTTTCACTGTTTAAAATAAATGATTAGTGACAGTTTAATTGTGTTATTATTAGATGATAGCTGGCAGTGGTTAGATGTAAATGTAACGGGAGAATTTGCATTGTGGCGTAACATCTAGTAGTGGAATTTTTATATGCTGAAATGATGACATTTTTGCCCAATATAAGTAACACTCGCAAGTGTAATAGTGTTTCATAAAAGCCTATTTGCAGAAAGTAAATTACTAATTTATCTATTTATTTATTAGGTACACCAACAAAGTCTCATAATAATAACTTTTAACACGTTCACAGCCGCGAGAACCGCATGTGGCAATGCAACGAGTGCTGGTTCGCTTACAACGCGTGGTGGGCGCGCGCGTGTGACGTGTGCCGCAGCGGCCGCGTGCCGCACGCCGCCGTCACGCTGGCTGCGCGTGACGCACCCGCGCCGCATGCCGCTTTGGCTGCGCGCGCGCCTGTTAACAGGTCAGTGACCTCCTTAGCCCCGCCCACTAAGATTTAGAACCGACTTGTAAGTAAAAAGGGGGATACCACTGTTAAGTATCTTAACGGAAGCTGCAACCTATTGCGCGCTTGCGCCGCCATGGCTGCCTGTCAACAGGCCAGTGACCTCGCTAGCTCCTCCCTCTTGCAAAAGAAGCGGCTCCAATGTTTATTGTCGCACACACTGATCACGCTCGCTAAAAGCGATACACGCTGACATGGCTGCCCGCGCCGTTCAATAGGTCAGTGACCTCCATAGCCCCGCCCACTAAGATTTAGAAGCGATTGTGAGTAAAAAAAGGGGACACCACTGTTAAGTATCTTAACGGAAGCTGCAACCTATTGCGCGATTGCGCCGTCATGGCTGCCTGTCAATAGGCCAGTGACCTCCATAGCCCCGCCCACTTGCAAAAGAAGCGGCTCCAATGTTTATTGTCGCACACACTGATCACGCTCGCTAAAAGCGATACACGCTGACATGGCTGCCCGCGCCGTTCAATAGGTCAGTGACCTCTATGGCCCCACCCTCTTTGGCTACTAGAAAAGACTATAGAGGTAACACTATTCATGAAAGTTGCACTTATAAAGCTGCGCCACTCAATATGTCAGTGACTTCTTTAGCTCTCCCAATTCAATCTCTACAAGACTTGCAAACAGTAGCCATGAGTATAGTCGCTACAACGCGTGGTGGGCGCGCGCGTGTGACGTGTGCCGCAGCGGCCGCGTGCCGCACGCCGCCGTCACGCTGGCTGCGCGTGACGCACCCGCTACGCACGGCGCTATGGCTGCGCGCGCGCCTTTCAATAGGTCAGTGACCTCGCTAGCCACGCCCACATCAACCAATAGAAGACTTGCAGACAGTCATAAGTATAGTGCCGCACGCCTTCGTCACGCGTGCCGCGTGAAATGCGCCTGCGTCGCTGGGTCAGTGACTCAGTGACCTCGATAGCCCACTTTTAAAAGAGACGGCACCATCGTTTATTGTCACACGCTGCGATCACGCTTGATGTGCGTGACGCAGGCCGTGCGCGTCGCTCAATAAGTCAATGACCACGCCTACTTTGACTACTGGAAAAGATGGGAAGGGCGGGACCACTCATGAAAGTTGCTATTATAACGCGCGTCACGCGAGCGGGCCGTTCGATATGTTAGTGACTTCTCTTGTCCCACCTACAACAACAGAAACTTGCAGCCATTAGTATAGTCGCTACAACGCGTGGTGGGCGCGCGCGTGTGACGTGTGTCGCAGCGGCCGCGTGCCACACGCCGCCGTCACGCTGGCTGCGCGTGACGCGCCCACTACGCACGGCGCTATGGCTGCGTGCGCGCCGATTAACAGGTCAGTGACCTCCATAGCCTCGCCCACATCAACCTATAGAAGACTTGCAGACAGTCATAAGTATAGTGCCGCACGCAGTCGTGCAGCACGGCAAATGCGCCTGCGTCGCTGGGTCAGTGACCTCGCTAGCCCTGCCCATTTGTTAAAAAAAGAGGCGACACCATGCGCAACGTACGCCGCGATCGCCGCTCGTCGCTCAATAGGTCAGTGACCTCTATGGCCCCGCCCACTTTGATATCTGGAAAAGATTCCCATCTTTTCCAGATGCGGCACCACTCATGAAAGTCCCTTCTCATAACACGCGACACGCGAGCGGGCCATGTCAGTGACTTCTCTAGTCCTCCCAATTCCAACTTTAGAAAACTTACAAACAGCAGCTATTAGTATTAGCACCCATTTCAAGGCTGCACGCGCGCCTGTGCACAGGTCAAAGACCTCGCTAGTCCCGCCCGTTTTCTCTATTAGAAGCAACTTTTGCAAGTGAATGGGCGACGGGCGTCTCCATTTATACCTTGCTTGTACCGATATTTTATTAAACCACGTCTTTTCTCATAGTTCCAGACCAACCAACACGCCTTCTGAAGCCAGTGGGAGTAAGGAACCTAACCGCAACGAGCCCAAGAAGCTAACGGTGCCCATAGCCTCGTTGGACCACGATTTGAACAGCGACGAGCTTCTGTTTGCAGTTGGTAAGTTTATACTAGTACTTACTATGTACTTTTGATATCTTTTTTAAATAATTCATTGAACATTGTGTCATGATTTCAAACAATCGGGTTGATCCAAGGCTGCAATCATTATCAGAGGTCATTTAGTCTACACTGCAGGAAAACAGCCCTATCTAATTTAACTGAGGAAAAAGAGGGGATTTCGCCTACACTCCCCACTGCTGCACTGGGTAAGAACGTAGCACACTTATCAACTCAAGGCGGTCAGTCTTCTTTGTTGTTTGTATTAAATTCCATACTGCAACGCACACTTATCCGCACCGTAACGTAAACGCCTCGCCTCGCGGTTGACAGCGCGCGAAAAGCGATGAAAGAGATACGGTGTTAATCCTTTTCCGAGTTGATAAGTCTGCTATGACCAATGACTAACCTCCCCGGGTCCTTGCTGACACATTTGAGACTAGTACGCAGTGTAAAATGTCAATGTCAAATCTTGTACTTGAGTACCATATAATACATACTTATTTTTTTTATGCTCGCTTACTCACAGTGGAATAACTGAATCATTTTATTTGAAGATTCAAACCCTGCGCCGGCGCCGGTAGCGTCAACAGCTACTTGGTCGTGCGCGCGCTGCACGCTCGTCAACGATGCTGATGCGAGCGCTTGCGCAGCGTGCGCCGGTTCGAGACCTCAACCACATAACTACTGGTGAGTATAGTACAGACAACATACATAAATAACTAAATGGGCGTCATGGGTCGTATAGACCGGACTGAGGGGCAACATTGGCGTCTGCCAGCTCAGGGGTGTAGAGAGGTGTGCTGCGCTTTCTCCGAAGTTACTCGCGGCGTTATGCCCTTTAACACTTCCACCCCTGGAGCATATGGGTGGTTCTACTTTTAGAGTCCATCACAAAAATAAGGTTGTCCCCACAATAACGAAGGTTAATACTTAATACAAAATGAAGAAACTATCATTTATTTTATTTAAATAAAGTTAATAACACCTGTTTAGATTATCTAGTTACGCTAAGTTTCAATTACAATTTAACTGTGTTAAAAAAATGACTTCAAACTTTTATAACAAAGCTAAAACGGCATGTCCCCATTAGGTGTTGCTTAGAACTATTACGTTTTTTAGAAATAATTTGTTGAAGCCACACAATTATTTTTAAATAAAAAGAGATATACATTGTTAAACATGGTAACTACAAAGTTTAATTTTATTTATCTGTAAAAATATATTTTTTTGGTGTGACGAAAGATTGTCCCGAAAATTGGAGTATCCATCGTCACGAACAGTCAAATATTAAAATAAGTTCTTAAAAAATACGTGAGTAGATCACGTTTTTTAGTAAAACGAAAGGCCATAGACCATAGAGTATAGAACGAAACTCAAATCAAGTGTTTAACATAGCCAGCTTGTCACTTCTTTTACATCAAGCACGAAAACGGGCGGCGTGTGTTTATTAGGCGTATCCTTGGTCACAGCGGTTTTTGGTATTTATTTAACGAATTTTAAATTGTTTTACTGTAAACATGATTTGTTTTTATGTAATCTTTAAGATAAAGTATAGTTTTCGATCCAAATTATCGTTATTTACGATTATTATTGATCTTTTTGGAAAATTGTATACTTCGTCACACGTATCCTTCGTAACAGGTGATCCTACATCTAAACGATGTGTCCTTTGTGCAGTTAGATAATATGTTAAGAATACTAAAAACACCTCAGAAAAAGGTATACGAATTTTGTATTCGTTTAGTAAACCAGTTGAAGCAGTTTTTGAAATGATTTTTTTTCCTTAATACTCTTAGTTTCAGTTCCTATTTGTGTAGGTTTTTGCTGATTTTCCTCATATTTTTCATTATCTATTTTAGTAATAAGCAAAGATATGCCTGTACTTAATGAAAAATGGCTGAGACACTCATTAGTTTTCAAGTTAGATTGATTATTAATTGTTAGATGTCTACTTCATCACATTTACGTCTCCTTCGTAACGAAGAGTTTGATCTCGTCCCCTAATAAATATTATCTCTTAAACAACAAAAATGCGAGTGTTAACTCTTTTTGTAACTCATTTTATGTCGTGTAATACTTGGTTTTTAGTGTGTAATACTACTTTTTCAATATAACTTTATAAAAGAGAAAAATAATTGATTTTTGTTAAGTTTTAAAGGTGTAAATGTGACGAAAGGGACAAACTGTTGATTTTTATGGAATTGTTACCTGATTAAATAACGATTAACTACCAATTGTCCAAGACTGATTTAAGCTGAGATTTTGTAATAATAAATGCAAATATCTATTGAAATTTCTTTTAATTTATCGAGTTTTAAACAACTGAATTTCGTGACGAAGGATACATTTTTTTCCATCTTAGTCTAGTAAAACGCAAAAAAATATAAGTTTTGATAAAAAACTGAGCTGCTGGTCTACAGATACCGAATCTATGGTAATTTTCCTACATTTCAGTCGTATGAAATGTACTAAATAGCTTTCTTTATTTTTTTTCATGGTTAAGACCTTAAAAGTAGAACGACCCATATAGCTCTAGCGACTCCACTCTGGCCGGCCGGTTAAGGCAAGCCAGAGGTGAAAGTCCTGCAGACCCTCTCGGATTCCACTTCGGCAAGCCGAAGACGAGGGTCTTGACCGACTCTCGGGAGCACTCGGATTAACAACTGGCCCCGTGGTGTCGCTACTCACCAACAGCTCGCCATTATTATTATTATACCTCAGTCGTAGCATTAGCTTCAACGCAGTGCACTATCAACACTCGTGTGGCGTCTCTGTAAAGTACATATTCTAACCCTGCGCCGGCGCCGGTAGCGTCAACAGCTACTTGGTCGTGCGCGCGATGCACGCTCGTCAACGATGCTGATGCGAGCGCTTGTGCTGCGTGCGCCGGCTCGAGACCTCAACCACATAACTACTGGTGAGTAAAGTACAGACAACACACATAACCCAATCCGTCCCCCGGACACGGCCTGAGCCGAGGTCCGAGCCCACCGTGGCGCCCTCAGGCCGCGTCCGTAGTCCCCTCGATCGGGCCCACTAGAGTGAGCCCGCCGTAGGCTGGACTTTGGTCCAACACCGCGGTGGGCAACCCTCTAGTTGGGTTCGCCACTGATCGGTACCTTCTGTACTCGCCACTCTGCCCGGTGAAGCTGGAAAAGCTCCTCAAGCTACCAGCGCGCGTCCCTAAAAAAAAAAAAAAACACACATAAATAAGCTAAATACAGGAACCTTAAGCAGTTGTAACAAGGATTACTCGCTCGTCAACGATGCCGACGCGACCGCGTGCGCCGGCTCGAGACCTCAGCCGCACAACTATTTTTACAGGTGTTGACAATGCGTGATCGCAGCGCAATGATTTCAACGCATTGCGTGCCACACGGGCGGTGTGTCAACAAGGGTCGCAGTGTTTGAATTGACAGCTATCATCATCGATTTTCAACAAAATCTATTTTCGACGGACCGTGTGGCAGGCATGTCGTTTAGATTTGTAGAATTACGGAGTGTTACCTCAGTCGTAGCATTAGGTTCAACGCAGTGCACTATCAACACTCGTGTGGCGTCTCTGTAAAGTAAAGATTCTAATCCTGCGCCGGCGCCGGTAGCGTCAACAGCTACTTGGTCGTGCGCGCGCTGCACGCTCGTCAACGATGCTGATGCGAGCGCTTGTGCTGCGTGCGCCGGCTCGAGACCTCAGCCACATAACTACTGGTGAGTACAGTACACGGGACTGCAGCAACTCCTGTGTAGCCAGGATCTACAACTTGACCTCCAATAAAAACCCAACCAGTGATGGTCAAGTTTGTCCTGAGACCCGCAACGAAATTAATCAGAGGAACATAGGAGGAGTTTGGAGTTCGAAATTAAGGATCGACTTTACAGTACGTACAGTTAAACACTGACACTTTAAGTAGTTTTAATAAGGGTTGCACGATCGTTAACGATGCTGATGCGAGCGCTTGTGCTGCGTGCGCCGGCTCGAGACCTCAACCACACAACTACTGGTGAGAACAGTCTAGACCAGTGGTTTTCAACCTTTTTCATGACACGACCATGACCATAGCATGAAAAAATATTTCGCAACCCCCCGACCACTCACTTTTTTTTCATGCATTTTATAATGTTCCAAAGATGTTGTAGGGACCGAATACTTCAATCCATACAACATTTACGCACTTTCATAATTAGATTTCTGATAATATTATCTTTAAAACTTTACTGTTTTTTTTTACTGAGGTAGTTTTTACGACCTCTCGCGACCCCCCTACAAAGGCTTCGCGACCCCCCAGGGGGTCCGACCAGCCAGGATCTACAACTTGACCGCCAATAAAAACTCAACCAGGCTCCAGGTCTCAGCCACACAACTATTACTGGTGAGTAAAGTACACCTTATGCAGTTGTGATAAGGACTACCACCCTCGTCAACGATGCTGATGCGAGCGCTTGTGCTGCATGCGCCGGCTCGAGACCTCAGCCACATAACTACTGGTGAGTAAACTATACACTGTAGGACCTTCGTTCGTTTCAGCCAAATGACGTCCACTGCTGGACAAATGCCTCCTCCAAGGTTTTCCACAATGCACGGTCCTGCGCTGCCCGCATCCAGGCTCTTCCCGCGATCTTTACGAGATCGTCGGTCCACCTAGTAGGAGGCCTGCCCACGCTACGTCTTCCAGCCCGTGGTCGCCACTCGAGAACTTTTCTGCCCCAACGTAGGACCTTATGTAATTGTAATATGGACTACATGCTCTTCAACGATGCTGATGCGAGCGCTTGCGCCGCGTGCGCCGGCTCGAGACCACAACAACAAAACTACTAGTGAGAACAGTCTAGATTGTAGGACGTTATGTACTTGTGATAAGGACTACCACGCTCGAATCGTCAACAATGCTGATGCGACCCATGCATGCAACTCCTGTGTAGTCAGGATCTACAGCTTGATGTCCACCAGACCAGGCTCCAGGTCTCAGCCACACAACTACTGGTAAGTTACAGTTGTTGACACTGAGTCGTCGCAGCGCAATGAGTACAATGCTCAACACTTTTAGTGGCACATTAAGTATAAGAGCTATAGGCTCGTCAACGATGCTGATGCGAGCGCTTGTGCCGCGTGCGCCGGTTCCAGACCTCAGCCACATAACTATTGGTGAGTGTATGGCGACACCTATCGACTCGACAGGCAGGCGTGGCAGGCATCATTTAACAACAGTGTACCTACCATGAGTTTACGATAAGTGTGCTCGCTAGCGAAAACGTCAAAAATACTCAATACTCAATAAGTTTATTGCTTCCTTAATAGTACATTTAGGTGTTACATAGTTATATTTGGAGATCATTAAGGGTCATTAAATCTCTAGGGAGATTTTGTTTCTTGAAAGTAGCCGCTAGGGGCGCTGCACAATATGTCATACAATTAATGTCATTTTTTTACGCAGTCGCTAGCGAGCACACGTAACGTAAACTCATGGTAAGCACACTGAAGACGCTGATACAAGCTTGACACACGTTTACAAACCTGCATCGCGGTTTTGAAGATTTCCACCTAGCAAATGATGGTCAATTGGACTTTGGTACCCGAGCATGATACACGCTCTGAAAGAAGCAATTCCAACATAGATTCCTTTAGTGGTCGATCTTATTTTATTCTATACTAGCATACCAGCGCTTAGGCGGCTGCTGAGCGAGCGTTTTTTCAAGCCTATCCAGTAGTTTTTTTTTGTTTTTTTTTTTAATATCATATTTTTTATTATAAATATGAGGTAACGGGAAGTCCAAATATGGTTAAATTGCTATCTCTTCAATACAACATTAGGTGTATCGTGTACCATATTAATTATATCTGTTTATTATAATTTCTTTAAATATCCACCACAATTCTATCTGTGGGGACCTATAAGTGGTTATCAAGTGTTATTAATTGTAAAATAATCAATTATGTAAACCCTGGTCTTCCTAATATAAATAAATAAATAAATAAATCTCCATATCTCACAAGTGTAATACAACAGCGATACTGTGTGGCATCTTATCCTCATAATCATTTAATCTTAGATAAGTCCTTGTTAAAATTGAACAATAAGTTATTTAGGAGTAGCTCGATAAAAAATATGCTTAGTGGTGCTCGTTAGGCTTACATCTAGCAGTGGACTGCCCTACACTGAAATGGTGATCATGATGATTTTTTTTTCCAGGTCTTGCAGCTCTTGCACGCTACGGAACCCGCTGTCTGCGTCACTGTGCCTAGCGTGTAAGACGCCCCCTGTGCCCAAGCACGGGGTCCCGGGATCTTCGGCTGAAGTCAACCACAGTGGCATTGGTAAGTCTATTGTTGACCCCAAAGTTCGTTCGTTTCGACTGAATGACGTCCGTCGTCCACTGCTGGACAAAGGCCTCCTTCAAGGATTTCCAGAAAGACCCCAAAGTACAAAGTACAAGTTAAAATTAAAGTAAAAGTTAAAATTAAAGTACAAGTATACTATAAACTTAAGGCTTCCACAGACCAAACGCGAGTCAGAAGCAGTGCAACTGACCCAGTTGCAGCGCGGCTGAGGCACACTGAAGGCAGCGCAGTTTCAAAGCAGTTGCAACGCGGGCGGTTGTCAAAAAATTCAATATTCGAAAACCGCTTTCAACGCGCTGCTACCGCCCTGCGTCCGGTGTGTCATGCTAATATGGCCGCCATAGTAATACAACAGCGCGGGCCCGCGCTCGCGCCGTTTCTGTCCCGCTCCCGTGCCGCCTCGTTTGTCGTTCGGCAGTTGCAGTGCGACGCGGTTGGAGCGCGGGCTCGCGTTTAGGTGTGACATATTTCAAAGAGTTTCTTGTATTACAACTTGCGCGGGCCCGCATTCAAACTGCGCTGCTATTGCCCCGCGTTTGGTCTGCCGAAGCCTTTAGAAGCTACCATGATTTGCCTAGATCTGAAAATAGCGTCGAGAAAAAACCTGGCTATTAATTTTTTTTTCATAAAATGTGTTTATTTTACACAAGACGTCGTAAATAAAATGTATTTCCTTTTTAAACAGGACGCAGTCCGTCACCCAGAAGGAGTTCAAGACACACCCCGGCTTTGCCCAGGCGGGGAGCTCGGCACAAAACACCGCCGCCTGAACCCAAGTGAGTATTCTTATGATAAAAAGTAGTTCGCACACTCACTGCAGTCGCCCGTCGTACAGCGAGTGTGCGAGCGCGACAGCAATATAATTACGCGCGAGCGACAAGGATGGGTAGCTTGGGGTCAATGTACGAAATTCCATCTGCTCGGCGACCGGACTTTAGTTCAGGTTGGCGTGTGAAGCAAAGGCTGTTATTTGCATTTGGTAAATCAGAGGGGCCGTGATCCTGCAGTCGAGACTATCGTTAGCTGTAACATCTCAGATTATTGTGTTTATGTTTTATTGAATTAAATATTGAATTCTATTTGCTTTGTGTATTCTTTGAAACTAATTATTAATCTTCTTTTTTCTCAGGCCTGAAACAAACGAATGGGCTTGCACCGAATGCACTTACATGAACGCGAGTGGCGCCCTCTCGTGTGAGATGTGCCAGTCTCCCAAGACTCGGCTTCTGCCCGCCGCGCCAGACCAGCCGCAGTTAGACGAGGACTCACGTGAGTACATCATTTGGACAGATGATGAATGATGATGATGTCCAAAAGTAGGCGTGGACGAAATATAAGCTGAAATTAAAGACGTGTATAAAGTGAAATAACTGATAAAATTCGTAGAACTGATGGCCCTCAGGTAAGAAAAGTTCTCTGGAAGCACCGGAAGACGTAATGTAAGCAAGCTTCCCAACTCGATAAAAACACATAGTAATTCGAGTTGTTTTCAATCTATACTATCTATACTAATATTATAAATGCGAAAGTAACTCTGTCTGTCTGTCTGTTACGCTTTCACGCCTAAACCACTGAACCGATTTTGATGAAATTTGGCACAGAGATAGTGAGTCCCGGGAAAGGACATAAGATAGTTTTTATCCCGGTTTTTGAAACAGACACGCGCGCGATAAAGTTTTTCTATTACAGACAAAATTCCACGCGGGCGAAGCCGCGGGCGGAAAGCTAGTTGTCAGTATAATTCGATTTCTAGTACTTTTTAAATTTATTTATTATCAGAAAATCAAATACGTGACTTAATGACGTCATAATCCCCATTTGCCATACAAAATCTACGGGAGAATCGCGTTTTGACATCTCAAAAACAGTATGTCAATGAGGGCTATCGTTTTTATACTTAACAGTTGGCACCCCTGGCGATTGACAGGACCTTACTCTACAGTGGCGCCAACTGGTGAGCGCTAAAACGATAGCCCTCATTGACTTGGGTTCCCACTGCTCTATTGCAAATTATATTGACACTATGTCGATTAATTATAAACCTTATTCTCTACAGCCGAGGGTTCAGACGGAGAGCGCCAGGAGAGCACCCCTATGGAGATACTACGGCTGAGGGAAGAGAGCCACGCGTGGACTCAGTGGCAGGAGGTGTTAGCGCAGTGCGCTGCGGTGAGTTGGACTTTATGTCTATGTCCCTCTTTTTTACTTGCTGGGGGCAATAGGTACGAATTATGATGGTTAAATTGTAGCCCCTAAGATCTAAAGTCCGGTCGCCGAGCAGATAGAATTTCGTCCAATGACCCGCGACTGTGCGTCAGTCAGTGTGCGACAGCAATATAATTACGCGCGAGCGGTAGCTTGGGGTCATTGGACGAAATTCTACGTGCTCGGCGACCGGACTTTAGCATATTATTCTGATTGATACTTATTATGGAAATTTGTACAGTCAAGGAATTAAGTTCCACCTAATATTGAATATTGTAAAGCAAAGTGGCACCATATAACATTTATCATTTGTACTTGGAGCATGTGCACTGTATAATTAAATTTTAGTTGCGAAAGTCAGTAAATTGTCAGTCAATCGAATTTGTGACCTGTTGACGTCATAGTTTTTTTTTTTTATTTTTTTTTTTAAAGAAAATAGTTCTTTTTGTATTACAAAGTCTAAGGGAGAGTCGTTTATTGACAGCTTCTAAAAGGTATGTCAATTGAAGGTGTCCACTACCCTGTTAGTTTTGAATCTTCTATTTATCCCAATAAAGTTCACCAATATTATGTGTCACCTACAGAGCGGAGAACCATACGAAGACTCCTCGTTCCCGGCGTCGCCGCGCTCTCTATACTACAACGGGAGCGCCGACGCAGGCGCCGCCACGCGTTGGCTGCGGCCCAACCAGATACACACGGACGCCGACCACCGGACGCCCTGGGTCGTCTTCCGGGACCCTCGGCCTTCGGACATATCGCAGGGTAAGTGATTCCAGGTGACCTCATACAGGTAAAGCCTGGTCCGTGAGCACGTAGAATCCCGTCCAATGACCCCAAGCTACCCATCCTTATCGCTCGCGCGTAATTATATTGCTGTCGCGACTGTGCGACGCGCGCCCGCAGTGAGTGTGTGAGCGCGACAGCAACATAATTACGTGCGAGCGACAAGCATGGGCAGCTTGGGGTCATTGGACGGGATTCTACGTGCTCACGGACCAGGCTTTAGCAAGGACGCGCTGGCTGCGGCCCAACCAGATACCACGGACGCCGACCACCGGACGCCCTGGGTCGTGTTTCGGGACCCGCGGCCCTCGGACATATCGCAGGGTAAGTGACCCTTATAAAGGTTGCAAGAAGGCGCTGGAAACAGATCCCTGAATTGATGATGATGATGAAACCCAGCCAGATAGACAGCAAGGTTCTGGAATGGAGGCCGCGTACCGAAAAACGCAGCGTGGGACGACCTGATAAAGCAGGAAGGTGCTGGATGCAGGCCGCTACCAACCGTGCGATGTGGAAGTCATTGGGGGAGGCCTATGTTCAGCAGTGGACGTCTTACGGCTGAAACGAACGAACATGTCTACTTTGAATCATACTAACGACTGTCTTAAAAGTTCTTACCCAGAGCCGTATAACTTAATATAAAAAATATAATGTACATTGTACAATAAACACTACTTATCTCCTCATTCCAGGTGTCCTAGGCAACTGCTGGCTGCTCTCCGCTTTAGCAGTGCTAGCGGAACGCTCCTCTCTCGTCCGAGGGGTGGTAGTGAGGGGCGAACCGAGCGTAGGCGCGTACCAACTGAGGCTGTGCAAGGATGGGAGGTGGCTGACGGTGACTGTGGATGACTTGCTGCCCGCGAATAAGAAGGGACACCTGGTATATTCGCAGGTGGGTTTTTTGGAGTTTAAGGTTCATTTTTGGCACATATTTTTTACAAGCAAGGGGTGAACCGAGCGTAGGCGCGTACCAACTGAGGCTGTGCAAGGATGGGAGGTGGCTGACGGTGACTGTGGATGACTTGCTGCCCGCGAATAAGAAGGGACACCTGGTATATTCGCAGGTGGGTTTTTTGGAGTTTAAGGTTCATTTTGGCACATATTTTTACAAGCAAGGGGCGAACCGAGCGTAGGCGCGTACCAACTGAGGCTGTGCAAGGATGGGAGGTGGCTGACGGTGACGGTGGATGACTTGCTGCCCGCGAATAAGAAGGGACACCTGGTTTATTCACAGGTGGGTTTTTTTTGATTTTGATTCATTTTTGGCATACAATTTTGTGACCCTTCATACAAGTCTGTAAGATTTTAAAATAAAGAACTGTAGCCTTATTCACGTAACAAAACTTCAACGACAACATATCGCTGAGTTGCGATCCTATCGAGTAATCGATCTATCGAAATGACCCTTGTGAATACGTATTTAGAACTGTTTTTCATGGGGACGACTTCTGAATGTTAGCGAGATTTTGACTGTGTAAAAATACGTGAATTAGGCCACTGGTCAATATAGTGATTCGTAACATAATAAACTTCTGTCTTGTAAAAAGAAGAAAAAATTTCAATGTCTCTCTTGCTAGGTATATCCCAACTCTTTGAAAGAAAGAGAGAGTCAGTGGGAGAGCTATTTCGAGTAATATAAATGTGACACCTTGGATCACTGGTAAAAATTTAATAATTACCTAGTCGTAAGCACAGCAAATTACTCAAAGACAAAATGTATTTATATTGCAGGCGAAAAGAAAACAACTTTGGGTGCCTTTAATAGAGAAAGCTGTTGCTAAGTTACACGGATGCTATGAAGCGCTGGTGTCCGGTAGAGCTATTGAAGGTTTGTTGCCTTATTTCTTTTGTTTACTTGATTTTCTGTATGAAATATTGTAATATAGCTTGACCCCGGTGTGGCAGTATCATAATTTCTTATGATACTGTGAGAGAGTTAAAATATACGTGCGAAAAGAGATAGATAGAAAGAATAAGAAGATATTTGGGTTATTTTTTTTAATTATTAGTAATTGTAATGCACAAATTACTAATAGTCCCATTAGCCCCTCGTACTAAGCTAATTATGCTTGTGACACGAGTGGGCTCACCACAATAGTCGAGCGGCCATTCCGACCCCTTCACCGTTCGACTATCGTGGCTATAACTTCACACTTTATTATATATTAGGGATGTTATGGATATGTACGTTTCGGTTATGGATACGGTTACGGATATAGGAATAATATTATACCGGTTCCGGTTACGGATATTTTTTTATTTCGAACTAGCTGACCCGGCGAACTTCGTACCGCCTTAGCGTAGAGATTTTCTTTAAATTTTTTTTCGTAAGAACCATCCTTGGACTTCCACAAACATTTAAAAAAAAGAATTATCGAAATCGGTTCAGCCGTTCACACGTGATGCCGTGACAACGCGAAACGGGTTTCATTTTTATATATATAGATATCCGAAAGTTTCGGTTACGGTTACGGATGTCCATCACATCCCTGCTTTATATCTCTTTATCTTTTGTTCTCCAGGTCTATGCACGTTAACAGGCGCCCCCTGCGAATCAGTTTCTCTCCAGGCGGGAGGGGCGGGCGGTGGCGCCGGTGGAGGAGCGCCTTTAGAACAGCTAGACCGAGACCTAGTGTGGGCACAGCTGCTGTCTTCGCGACAAGCGTGCTTCTTGATGGGCGCTAGTTGTGGTGGAGGCAATATGAAGGTAGGTCACAGATAGGGGCGCCTTTAGAACAGCTGGATCGAGACCTGGTGTGGGCTCAGCTACTGTCTTCGCGACAAGCGTGTTTTTTAATGGGCGCCAGTTGTGGTGCAGGCAATATGAAGGTAGGTCCTCTATTGGTAGAAAAAGCAACTTGACTTAAGGTCCTATGTCTCCTAGATGGGGCGGAGGGTAGTTGCGGTGGAGGCAATATGAAGGTAGGTTGTTGGTAAAGCCCGGTCGCCGAGCACGTAGAAATTCGTCCAATGACCCCAAGCGCGTAATCATGTTGCTGTCGCGCTCGCACACTCACTGCGGCCGCCCGTCGCACAGTCGCGACACCAATATAATTACGCGCAAACGATAAGGATGGGTAGCTTGGGGTCATTGTATAAAATTCTACGTGCTCGGCGACCGGACTATAGAAACAGCAAAGGGCGTCAATGCTAACAGGCACCCCCTGCGAGTTAATATCTCTCTAAGCCGGAGCGCTAGCTGTGGTGGGGGCAATATGAAGGTAGGTCTTCAGTAGTGGCTTGACCAGCAAGGGATATCCTAGCTAACAAGCGTCTTGTGTGAGTTGGTAACGCTCTAATATTGACGCCATTGAGGAGGACTTGAGGCGTTTCTGATTAGCTTAAAAAGTTTAAGTAGAAATGTTAATCTTAAAGCTATACCTGAAATCCATTGATAGGTCTAGAAATTAGGATTTAGGAGCCATTTTGGTTCAATAAATTATGTATACTATTTAAATTGTGGAAAACGTATTATGTTCCAAATAAACTACTTTCTTTCTTTCTTCTTTCTAATTATTTTTATGTAGAACCTGAGATGTAGCTGGACTTCTACTGGACGTAGTCCCAATAAATGAGAGGTCTGGGAACTAAGACTGGACAGTTGATTGAAAAATAAAATTTCAACCTTAATAATAATATAAACCTGCACAAGTAATGAGATATCAGGAAATAATAATATAAACCTGCACAAGTAATGAGATATCAATATAATTACGCGCAAACGATAAGGATGGGTAGCTTGGGGTCATTGTATGAAATTCTACGTGCTCGGCGACCGGACTATAGAAACAGCAAAGGGCGTCAATGCTAACAGGCGCCCCCTGCGAGTTAGTATCTCTCCAAGCCGGAGCGCTAGCTGTGGTGGTGGCAATATGAAGGTAGGTCTTCAGTAGTGGCTTGACTAGCAAGGGATATCCTAGCTAACAAGCGTCTTGTGTGAGCTGGTAACGCTCTAGGATTGATGCCATTGAGGAGGACTTGAGGCGTTTCTGAGAAGCTTAAAAAGTTTAAGTAGAAATGTTAATCTTAAAGCTATACCTGAAACCCATTGATAGGTCTAGAAATTAGGATTTAGGAGCCATTTTGGTTCAATAAATTATGTATAGCCTGACCAGGAACATAAAAACCCTGGCATAGAGGCGCTTCAATTGCATTTGATAGTGCAACACTGAGTACAGTCGTACCTGTGTTAAATTAATAGGCTAACTTTATGTATCAGGATTCAGGATTACGGGCTAATTTGATATTTTCGTAAATTAACGAAAAAATATTATTATAGGTAACCTGATTTAAATAAATTAAATGAAACCATCAATCGAGCTAGTAGATTTATTTTATTATTCATCAATAATCAAATTCAGAACTTGAATATTCAACTGCAATGTCTGCTCATGAACGCTTCAAACTCGGTACTTCTTTCCCAATCCCATAAAATTCAACACTTAGAAAGTGACAATTTTTTTAAAATAGGTAGTTGAAACAAACCACAGCTAATTTTCATAGTGGACTGTACTATACGATAAACATGTCAGTCAATTTGACAACCTTTGTCGGAAACATTATTCAATGAAAATATTGTCCGAACCCTTAGGGGGCGTCCATAAATTACGTGAGGCTTTTAGGGGGGGGGAGGGGGTCAACGAAAATCTCACTAAATCTCACGTAGGGGAGAGGGGGGGTCTCGGAAAATATCACGTAATTTTTCCCGCAAGGAATAGAGTAAAATTGCAAGAAAACTGGGTTATTGAAGTAAAAAAAAAATGATTTTTTTATGATGATTGTGCCGGTNTATCAGAGACTAACTACAACTCTTGTATCATTCATACGCTCCCTCACCATGGCACAAATTGGTGACCCCGACGAAGGTGATCCCGACGAAGTTGCCACAAATTGGTGACCCCGACGAAGAAGACGAAGCCGACGGAGCCGACGATGAACCAAACGAAGATGGCACAAA